CAAGACTCAGCCTCCTCACTGCCCACAGGAACCCAGGGTGACAAAACCAGCCATCCTGAGCTCAGTGACATTTGACAAATGGCCCCAGGACACTAGAGAACCAGGAGGAAGGTATCCCTTGAGGAAGCAGCCAGGCTGACCTGACCAGTGACCAGAACCCTGGAGTGCAGCCTGTTTTCATGCCAGAGGATTTTTGCTGCCCTGAGTGGGTGGGGTGTCTATGTTTAGGGTCAGAATCTTGTAATTAACCAGCAGAGGACACACAGCCCAATACGAGGAAACCAGTCATACAAGGTTAGTCCTAAGCCTGGCCTTAGTCCAGATGGGGCAACCCAGATGCTGAACACAAAGGGGACAGTCCCAAGCATGCCACAGCAGGCTTTCCCAAAGGCTCTTCTATGGTCAGTGATCCATCATTAACCATTCAGACAGGTGAACACCTCGGTGGTATCAAGCTAGCTCCTATAAGAGCTCTAGAACCCTGTGCCTCTTCCCAAACCTGGCTCCTAGCCCAATCTCTCTTCTCAGTCTTTCCCAAAACTGCCAGCCCAGCACATCAAAGCACAAGAGAAGCCCTCTGCGGTATGATGATTGGGGAAGCCCCAGTTACAGGCCAGGTGGTGCTCAGGGGCCAACCCCTGCCTTAGCTTCCAGGATCATAGCTGCCTTCTGCCCTTGTAGGTAGCCTTTTCTGTCCAGGATTCCCTGCTGCTTGGCAGTGCCTGTCCCCTAGGCCACCATTCTCCGGTGCCTCTCCTGCCCAAGTAGCCTGAGGCTCTGGTGGTCACATCCTCCAATGAATGCCCTCTGCCTGGGTGCCCGTGCTGGCACCAGCCCAGCTGGCAGCAGGCTTTATGTTTGGTGAAGCGGGGAGAAACCTGAGCATGTTTACTGGCAAGGAATGAAGTAGTAGCATGACACCAAATGAGCAGAGTCTCTAAAAAGGTTGAGCACGCTGGGGTCTAAGACCAAGACAGGTACAGTGGGCTAAGAATGGCAGAGCCTGCAGGAGTGCCGAGGGTGTCTAAAAACCTTGCCACGGGGCTGGAGAGATGGCTCAGAGGTTAAGAGCACTGACTGCTCTTCTAGAGGTCCAGAGTTCAATTCTCAGCAACCACATGGTGGCTCACAACCATCTACAATTCAATCCGATGCCCTCTTCTGGGATGTAGGCAGAGCACTGTATATGTAATAAATAATAAATAAATAAATAAATAATTTTTTAAAAAACTCAATTATTGAAAAAAACCTTGCCACACTGCAGAGAGGCTGCTGAGATCAGACTATTGGTCAGCAGGCCAGGTAAAGGGGGAGGTGGTCTAACAAAGGCTATCCACACAAGGGGGCACCATTTCAAGTGAGCACGAATCTATGTGGTACCCAGGCCTCTATACCATGAGGTTCCCACCAGGACCATAGCAAGGACAGAGGCCACGCCAAGCCACCTCAAGCTCCACACCCAATTCTTTCTTGCCCGGCTTTTCTTCTCTCTTTCTGCTACAAGTGTCTCCACAATACCCTAGCCACACAGACCTCATTCCATTAACACCACAATAATTTTTGGGTCTTTTTGCTGTTTGGTTTACACTAGGAAGCCCAAGCTGACCTCAAAGTCACTGTGTAGCCAAGGCCAGCCATGAACTCATGGTTCTCCTGTTTTCACCCCCCAAGTGCTGGGATTACAGGTATAAACTATGCCTGGCACAACTCCATAAGACCTTTCCCTGTATCTTTGAAATTTGTTGTTCCAATAATACCAAACATCAAAGTCTACCAGCATATTTTTCCTATAAATCTAGGGCCTTGTGCATGCTAGGCAAACACGCTACCTGAAGCGTAACCTCTTCCTTCTTTACTTTTGAGACAGGGTCTAAGCTACCCAGGTTCTTTGAACTTACTGTTGACTAAGCAGGCCTTGGACTTGCAATCCTCCTGCATCGGCCTTCTCAGTAGCTAGGTTACGAGCCTGTGCTACCAGGATCCACTCATAAAATAAGACACAACTAACAATGATGGTATCTCAGATCTGATGACCCTCAGTGACAGATCCCTGGGCCAAGGACTCCACTAACATATCACCTATGGCCCTGCCCTCCTCTGACTGGCATACCTTGTCCCTGCTTCCTGCAGCTCCACTGCAGACACGGTTGGCAGTATAGCGTTCTGACACTTCTCGCCACTCCCCAGTGGGAACCCCTTGAGCTGTATGTATGTTGCCATAAAGTTCTTGGTCCGTGTGTTTCTCCCGTGTCACCAGCTACTATACTGCAGCCCCAAGAGTCAGCTATAAACTTGTTTCCTGCCAAAAGGCTACACTTGCCGGCTTCCCTTGCAGACAATGTCATCTCTGCCCCATAGGGGGCCACATCCCAATCCTCCTCCACACACCAGGGTGACAAAGCCCTCTCCGTGAATAAACATGGTCCCACCTAAGCTCAGACCAAGTCTTTTTTCTCCCTTCAGTTTCTCTACAGCTGCCTTTAAAAGATCTAACAGAACCAGAAACATTTTCTACTCCCTGATCTTCTGTCCAGGGCCCCCAGGGCAGAAGTACACAGGATAGAGGTCCTCCATCCCCTCGGTGGCCTCCAGACAAGGGCTTAGACTCCCTCAGGAAAGTGAAGTGGGCACCAGGGAGTTACTAGGTCCTCCTGCTCTGATGAAGATTAAAGCACAGCCATATGAAGTCTGTACCTCAAATGAGGGGCCTGCAGCTCCTCAGCAAACATAATGGACACGACAGAGCCATACTGCATGTTCCCAGTGGAAACTAATCACAAAAGGAATGCTACCGAACACTGGGTATGAGACAGAAGATGTCTTTTTTTTGTTTGTTTGTTTTTCCAGACACACAGCTTTGGAGTCTGTCCTGGAACTTGCTCTGTAGATCAGGCTGACCTGGAACTGAGATCTGCCTGCCTCTGCCTCCTGAGTGCTGGGATTAAAAGCGTGTGCCATCACTGCCTGGCTAGATAGCTCATTCTTAAACAAGGTGGAGATGCAGGGACTCAGAACCACTGAGGATCTCCTGGGCTGGGAACTCCTATCACAGCTGGCCAGGAAGAAGAAAGACATCATCTGACAATCCTGTTCCAGAGGATGAAACAGCTGTCACTAACACAGGTGATCTGAATGACTGCCAGCCCCCACCCAACCCAGGGCCTTCACGGCCACAGCAACTGTACAGGGTGTTAGATGCTAACTATCCCTGAGCTTGCCTCAATCCCTGCCGGTATCCTACAACAGGTCCCTCTCCTCTCTGAAATGCCTGCTTCCCAGTGACACCCATGGGAGTCTTCTCAGTCCTCTATTCCGTGGAGAGTTCTCACTGAATGGGTTTATTCTATATAGAACCATCGGTTTCTATGGGACCCAACCCTTCAGGGACTACCTGCAAGGCAAGGCAGGGAGACAGTACAGGGTTCAGGGGATCCAGAACCCAGGCCAACTCTTCTAAACACATCCAACATGTCAAGGACATGATGCTGGGTGGTGGTCATACTTTGCTGCCCAGGAAAGAGGCAACAGGGGTGGTCCCCCACCAGAACCAAGGGTGCAAAGGCTGGTCACTCTTGCTCGTTTGGAATTCCTGATACCCAATTATTTTGTTTCCTTCCTTCTTCTCCCCACCCCTTTTAGAAAAAGAGATCTCACGTAGCTCTGGCAGGTCTGACTCCACCTCACAAAGTGCTGGGACTACAAGTATGTGCCACCACTCCCTGCTTCAAATTTTCTAGTCCCTCCTTCTGTGCCTTGTGTCCTTTACAAATCTTGAGGCTTTTAATTAATGACTAACCAGCCAGGCTGGAGGCACAGTGCTGTTGACAGGTCTGGCCTGCTTCCAGATGATGGTGCAGCTCATCGGACCTAGAATGTAATGTCTCTGCTTCCTCCCCTGGACCAGCAAACCACAACATCCCTTAGCCGGACCCCAGACCCCCTCCTTCTGGAGGACCTGGCTCTCCTGCTGCCCTGCTCTGTGTGTGTGTGTGTGTGTGTGTGTGTGTGTGTGTGTCTGGACTTAAGTCCACTAGATGATCCCAGGGAAGTGTGTGTGTGTGCACACACGTGTACCCTAAACACTCCACACCCACAAGTCCACTAGCTGGCCCCAGTTCACCGGGGACCTTTGTCTGATCCTGTTCTTTGCCTGAAACAACAGTGGCATCCAGAGGGAAGATCCCCTTATCTAAGACGCCCCCCCTAGGACCAGACTGCTTTTGTCAACAAGGGCACGGTACTTCCGGCCACCATCCCGTCCACCTTGCGGGACTGACAACAGCAGGCAGGCCCCGGGCTTGCGCGCAGCCCACCGCACCTGGACAAAGGGGACGAGGGCAGGGCAGGTAACCAGCAAGGCGCGGGCTCGGGGAGGGACAGGCCTGCGGGGCCAGCAAACAGGAAGAGGCCTCGGAGGCTGCCCCGGAACTGCGGGCGTCGTTTCCCCCGCGGGCAGCCCGGCCAGAAAGGCTCTGGAGGCTGCCGCCACGTCCGCACCCCGCGGCGACACCGGCCTGGTCTCTCCCAGCGCCGGCCAGGCGACCCAGCGACACCAGGGCGGGGCGGGGCGGGGCGGGGCGGCCAAGGTCCCGCGGAGCCCATGGCGCCCCGCCCCACCGCGCCGCCCGCGCCGCGCCTTCCTCACCTCGCCCTCCTCGCCGCCGCCGCCGCCGCCGCCGCCGCTTCCAGTGGGCCGGCCGGAAGTGACGACACCGACGCCGACGACGCGCAGGCGCAAACGCCGCGGGCCGCGTGATCGCCGGCGCACGGCGTGGGGGCGGCGGTACGGCGAGGTCGGAGGCGCGCGAGGTCGTCCCGGAAACGCAGGAATGGGGTTTCTTTCCACCCCCCGCCCCCGGCATCTCTGAGAAAGGACACCGCCGGACAGTCCGGGCAGGGGCGGCCCGGGTCCCAGAAGCTCTAACCCCCCAGGCCTTGCGCCGACATCAGCCCCAGCCCATCGTCGTGCGTGGCGATGGGTTTGCACCGGACCGCGCTACTTAGCATCACAGCTTGGGAGTCGTGTTTATTGAAAAAGTAAAAAGTATCACCATAAAAAAACAAACAACACACAAAAGACAAAACCTGGAGAAAAAGCCAGGCCAGAGAAATGGGTACAAGGGAGGCGTGGCCCACGACAAGTCCTGACAGCCTGGCTGCCTCACTGGCGTGTTCCATGGTGGGCACACCCTGGCCCCTGGGGCAAGGAGCTTGCCGTCTTCTCCAGGGAGGCACAAAGCCCCGAAGGGCTTGGCTGGCTCAGTCCATGCTGGTTCCTTTGAAGAGTTCTACCAAGTCCTTGAAGTCTGGGTCTATAAGGTCAGAGGGCAGATGGCCATCATCATTGGCTGCATCTCTGTCTGCTCCCAAAGAAATTAGATACCTGAGGTGTGAAGAACTGTTGGTTAAAAACCTATCCAGCCCACTCAGGAACAGAGGGCTTGAAGTTGGGGGTCACCGGCTTGTTTGTTTGTTTTTCCAGGCAAAGGGACGCAGGGAGGGAGGGAGGGAGGGGGAAGAAACCTGACCCCCTTGGAAGCTGTGACCAGATTTTCCAGCTTGCTGTAATGTTGCAAGCGAGTAGAAACTGCCAGAATCCCCCAGAGTTTCTGCCTACACCGTCGGAGCTATATTTGGGGGCTCACTTGCTGGAGACCAACTGAAGCCCGGAGGGATTTGGGACGGGAGCCTCTGAACCAACCAACCAACCGTGTTCCACAGCCTCACCTGGCTATGTCAGGGTACCCATCACTGCAAGCGATATGCAGAGGCGTCCAGCCAGTCTCATCTCGTTGGTGAATGTCAGCGCCGTATTTGACCAGCAGCTTCACACATTCCAGGTTTCCAGAGAGGACCGCTTCGTGCAGCGCGGCCAGGCCTGGCAGGGTGGGAAGGGCCAGGGTCAAAGCTGTCGCTGCCCTCTGCATAGGGGTTTCCCTTACCTCCTTAAAGACAGAGGACCAGCCCATCAGTGCTTTCTCACCTGAGGGGTGGATAGTGTCCAGGGAGACTTTCCGAGCCCGGATAAAGCGCCCCACCTGCTCCAGGTCGCCTTGGCGGATGTGGTCCAAGAAGAGAACATCATTAGGGAAACGCACGCTGCGATCAGCCGACAGCCTCCGCCGCCGCTGTCTGGGGCTGTAGCGAGCATACCGGGCAGTTCTGCTGGGCATCCTGGGGACTGGGGTGGCTATCTCTGTGGGGACCCTACGTCAGTAGGTAGGAGTGGGAGGTACGCCAGCCAGACCCGATCCGTGTGCAGGCTCTCTGGCTTGACAGGACCCCAATTCCAGCTTATATAGGCCTTGCGGGGCTATATAAAGCCGCGCAGTCATGCTTGCAGACGCGAGGGGCTGAAACCGAGCTGCTCCCCCCCCCCTCCGGGAGCCCAGGATCATGTTTAGTGGCTCATCTTTCAGCACACCTGTCGCTATGTCCAGCCAAAGGGGTCAGATCCTTCCTGGCTACTACTCCCTGTCCGCAGCTGGACCTAGAAGGTGCCTTGTAGAGGACAGGACAGGAGAAGGACTAGGAGAGAGCCCATGAGAAAAGCTGTGGATGCGGACTCAAAGGCATCAAGAGAGTGTGCGCTTGAAGAATGGCTCACCTGTCTGCCTTCTGGAAGCCTGGTCCCCTCCCCATCTGAAGATCGCCCATCCATTTGTCGTTTAGGAGACCTCAGCACTGTCCGTTTCCCAGCATGTCTCTCTCTTAGCCTCCAGAAAGATTCCCAGAACTGCCTTCAGAGCATAGCATACTGTTGGGAACTGCTACTGCCCAGGCTAGGATCCCAGTCCTGAGGCCAACACCACACACACACACACACACACACACACACACACACACACACACACACACACACACACACATTGTAGGTGGCATTCACTCTGTACCTAAAGAGAACAGGGCACATTCATTACAGGTGGAGAAAGGGAAGGACCTCATACATTAGCTTCCTGCTTACTCTCAGCCAGCTATCTTACTTTTGCCGCGGCTTCAGCCCAGGTCTCAGGTGGTGCTTGGCTTGGGGGCATGAGACTACAGAGAAACCCTGTTTCGAAAAACCAAAAAAAAAAGACACCATCCATAGATGTCCTGAGGGTGTACACCCTACTCCAGTGTGATCTTATCCATTCATTCTTACAGTGACCCTATTTCCAAAACAGTCACACTCAAAAACCTGGGAGCTAGGACATGAATTTGGGAAACGCAACCTACTGTACTGATGAGATTTCCTAGGTGTCTTGGGAGACCCGGGGCTGGGCAGCTCCTTGGCAGGCTGGGGATCCAGGAAGGGCCGTGTGGTCATCATCAGGCCTTGCACCACCTGGCTGCCTTCCAGTCATCATCAAGCCAACGTGCTACACACCCTGTAGGTGTAAAGCCGAGGTCCACTGGCTGCAAGACCCAGAGTGAGAACTCCCTGCCTGGCAGGGGTGTTTCCGTGTCCCTCGGTGCTCAGGGGCTGTTAACTGAGTTTGAGTACTCCAGAACCTGCTGTGAGTGGTTCTGTGACCCTGCATCTATCTCCAGGCCTCAGGTCTATCTCCTGGTCAATTGGGAGGAGTCGGGTACCATGCCTTCAGACTTGTTCACCTCAAGTAGGGAAGCTAGTAAGCGTTCTGCACCCCGTTAGCTGGGTGACAGAGCCCCTCCCCGCTTAGATGTGACCATTGTCTTTCCTTGTGTTGTGGAAAGTTTTGTCTGCACTCCCAGTTCAGGGGGTTATATGAACCACGAATGCGGAGGCTGAAGGCACTATCAACAGAGCAGCAGGGAGGACCAGCAGATCCACCCCTTCCTTCCATCAGTGAATGGCCGCTAATGACATAAGGTCTGGGCACATTTGGTACACGAAGCCCCTGGCCATTTAGAGCACAGACGTTTGTAGTCGGATGCTTCTCTCCCACAGCAAAGGTTGTTGAGTTTGGGGTTTCTGTTTGACTCAGAGTCTAGTCGCCAAAGCCAGTTCTCAGTATTTCTGGGAATTGTGTGTTCTGAGTTGAAGTCTCAGCAGGAGTCACAATAAGCTGGGGTTGGTGACACTTTCTGTAATTCCAGCACTTGGGAGACGGAGGCAAGAAGTTCAAGGCTCAAAAAAAATTACACCAAGTTTACCCTCCAGCATTTTGTACCTCTCAAGCATACCTTTAATCCCAGCACTCGGGAGGCAGAGGCAGGCAGATCTCTGTGAGTTCTAGGCCAGCTTGGTCTACAGAGTGCGTTCCAAGACAGATGGAAGCTACACAGGGAAACCCAGTCTCAAAGCAAAACAAATCAATCTGCTTGCCTGAGCTTCCTGAGCGTTTGGGATTACCGGCTTGTATCAACCATACCCAATTCCAATTTATGAAAGGGTCAGAACTGGGAACACAGTTCTGGGTAAAGCGTTTCCTAGCATGACAGCCAAACCCTGTTTCAAAAGCATCAGTAGCAATAATGAAGAGTCCAATACAAGTTTGGCATAGTAACATAGTAGCACTCTGGAGGCTAAGACAGACGGTTTGCCATGAATCCAAAGCTAGTCTGAGCTACATAGTGAGTCCAAGGCCAGCAGAGGTGACCACACAAGCCTAAATTAAGTCAAACCAAAAAAAAAAAAAAAGAAAGAAAGAAAGAAAGAAAGAAAAAGAAAGTCTGACAATGCCTCCAGCAGTGACATGTACCCAGTGCCTGGGGGCTGTTAGGGTTAGGTAATCTAGGAGAGGCATGCCAGAATGATCTGCCTACGATTAAACTTCAAAACCTGAAGACCCCTTAGGGCAGAACTTTTTTAAAGTTCCAGGCTGTTGGCTTCTGGATACCTGGGGGGGAATTAGGAAATTCCAGTCTGCCAAACCTTCCGCTGCCCCAAAGAGCCTTGGGTTGTTTTTTTTGTTTGTTTGTTTTTGTTTTTTTGAGACAGGGTTTCTCTGTGTAGCTTTGGAACCTTCAGTTGTTTTACTAATCCACTAATCCTAGGCACAGAGGTTTTAGACAGCATCCTGGAGCTGCCCTGCACAGTCTGGCTCTGGAATGCTCCATCAGCTGCCTCTGCAAAAGGGGAAAGACATCCATGAGTCATGTTCCTCTCAGGAGCGCGTGACCGTGGCTGCCTGGTGTGAGCTTTCTTATCCAGAGACCAAGTCCCTGCACAGCTGGGCAGTGGTTCAGGGCTCTCTCTGGGGCAGGATGTACAGCATACCTTTTTAGCTGAGACTGGAAACTATCTGCCCACAGCCCTGCTGGTTTTCCTTCCCTGGAAGCCCTGTGTCTTTTCTTAATGACATGTCAGCTCCAGAGCTTTGATGCACATTTCGGGGACAGAATTTATACACTGCCCCCATCACACTCCAAAGTGACTGTACCCATTTTAAAGTGATCATGGTCCATTGTGTCAGGAGGTCCCTGCTGAAGCTTCTGGAGTCCTGTAAAGTCACCAAGAGCCAGTGAAGGCAACATACGTGGATGACTGACCTAACTGCTGAGTCAGAATGGACAGCATCAGAACGATCGCTACCTGGTGCTGCTTGAGGGGGTGGCAGAGGGTCCTCTTCCCCTGTCCTGTGTGCCTGTTCAGATAGGGGCATCCCTGGGCTTGTGTGAACTTTTATGGAAGGATGAGGTAGCCATGGAGGAGATGACCACACCCCACACCCAGGAGATAATCATACAGTAAGTCCTTCAGTTGGCTGTGGTACAATGGTTATAAATAAGCAGGAGGGCAGCCGGCCTTGGTGATGTGAAGATGTCTTGTTCTGGATATCTTCAGAAAGGGTGAGTGCATGCACACATTAAACACGGGCTCCTAAGAATACAGGTAAGGCCATGGGCTCTGTCTGACCTCAGGCAGCTTGCAGCGTTACTGTCCGAGCCCCGTAACCATGCTGAGCCCTGTTACCCTTTGGCTCTGTAAGCCTCTACTCCTACCCTGAGACTCAGACACTGCAGTGCTCCCAGAGGTAACCACACCAGAGGGGAAGCCTAAGAAAGCCAGTCTCAGGACCGTCACTACCCCCATTGCACGTCAGGTGATAGATAGCTTTGACCCTGAGAAAACAACCAATTCCAGTCTTAGTTTCTCTGAACGGAGTCTTCTTTTTAATTCATTTTTATGCTGCTATGTGGGTTTTGGGAAGTGAACCTGGGTCCTCTAGAAGAGCAGTGAGATAGCTCTAAACTGCTGAGTCATCTCTCTAGTTCCTTGAACTAGGTCTTCAAGTTAAACTTATTTGTTTGCAAAGTTTCATGTAGCTCGTGCTAGCTCTTGACTCACTGAAGACGAATCTGCTTGCCCTTCTCAAGAGCCAGATTACAGGTATGTACCTCTACGTGTAGCCTTTTTCCCCCTTCTTTTTTTTTTTTAAGACAGTCTTACAATGTCTGGAACTCACTATATAGACCATAGGTGCCTCAAAGTCAGAGATCCTCCTGCCTCTGCCTCCCAAATGCTGGGGTTAAAGGTGGCACCACCATCCCCAGCCTGTTTTGTTAAGGCAGGGCCTCCGACCCAACTCCCCTGCTTCATCCTTTCCAGTGCTAGTATTCATAGTGTGTCAAAGGCTGGATACATACAGCTCAACCGTTAAAAGCTCTTGCTGCTATTGCAGAGAACCTGAGTATTCAGAAAGTAGACGCAGAAAGATCTGTGTTTGAGGCCAGTCTGGTCTACTGAGTAAGTTCCAGGAGAGCCTTCAAAGTTACAGAGAAACTCTGCTGTCTTAAAAAACAAAACAAGCTCTCCGGCCAGATTGCCGCCGCCGTCATGGACACGAGTCGCATGGGCAGCCCATCAAGCTGGCTAGGGTACCCAAAGTGCTGGGCAGGACAGCAGGGACAGTGCACGCAGGTGTGTGTGGAATTTATGGATGACACCAGCTGCTCCATTATTCAAAACGTCAAAGGGCCTGTTCGAGAAGGTGATATGCTCACACTATTGGAGTCAGAGAGGCTCAGAGATTACACTGAACTTGCTGCTGGATCCTGGATATCCACCACTTGGCCCATGGTGACCTGCAACTATTGAATAAAGCATTTGTATTGTTAAAAAAAAAAGTTATTGTGGCTGGGTGTGGTAGTGCAGCACTGCTGGACTTTAATCCCATCTTGCCTGTCTCTAATCTTTTTTTTTAAGATTTATTTATTTATTACAGATACAGTTTGTCTACATGCCAGAATAAGATATGTACCAGATTGAATTGTAGATGGTTGTGAGCCACCATGTGGTTGCTGGGAATTGAACTCAGGACCTCTGGAAGAGCAGTCAGTGCTCTTAACCTCTGAGCCATCTCTCCAGCCCCGCCTGTCTCT